AACGCTGCGATGGGGGGGGAGGAATACCCGGGAAACCGGCACCGCCCCCACCTCCCCCAGCACCGCCGCACGCAGCCGCGCTCCGGTACCGGAGGATGCGCTCACCCGGCCCGGCACGGCCCTGCTCGGCCCGGCGCTCGGTGCGGCTCCGCCGGGGCCAAGGCTGCCCGCCGCACAGCCCGGCCCCGCCACCGCCCCCCGCTCCTCCCCCCGCTTTAAAGGGCCCCGCCCGGCGCTGCTCCGCGCTGTGCTCTGCCGTGCCGTGCCGCCCCCGGGTCAGACGGCGTCCCCCAGGGCACCCCGTGTCCCTCAGTTCCACAGGGCACATCCCGCATGGCACCTCGTACCCTACAGAGCATCCCACACGCCGCAGGGTTACCCAAAAGACTCCCCGCATCCTGCCCGGCCCCCCCATATCCCTCACAACATCTCACCCCTTCAGGATACCCCAAATCCCATTGCATCCCGCAGGGTCATCCCGCATCCCCATCTCCCATCTCACAAAGCCTCATCTCCCACATGGCACCCCGTATCCCACGCTGCACCCTGCATCCCAAATGCACCTCACATCCTGCAGGGTACCCCAAATCCCACAGAGCACCATATATCTCACATGCCACACAGGGTACCCTGCCGAATGCACAGCCCCCACTCCTGCAGGCACCCCATATTCCCCAGTTCTGTGATCCTATGATTCCATATCTCATCCTGCATCCCTCATGGCATCTCACCCAGTACCCTGCATTCCACAGCAGCCCCACATTCCACATCCCACCCCGCAGCTCTCGTGGCACCCCACACCCTGCACAGCATCCCAAACCCCAAAGCATCCCATCCCACCCTGCACTCCCATCATATAAGGCGCCCTGCCTCCTCCACACACCCCCATTCCATATCCCACCCTATATCTGACGTGACACCCTGCATCCTGTACCCCATTTCCTCCTCCAGCATCACCCCGAGGGACAGCACCTCCACGCTTCCCATGTGACCCCAAAGCTCATTTTCCCACTGCTTAGGGGAGGGGATTGGGGACCAGCAGCCCCCCCAGGAGCGCACCCAGCCCCAGGCTTTGCCATGCAGCAGTATCAGCCCCAGGTCAAGGTGTCAAGGTCTGTGGGTCGGAGCTTGCCTCGCTGTCCCGCTGACATATTTATAGGGCCATCGCCGTCCCTGCCAAGGGGGTCAGGACACGGCCATAATCCTCCTCTCGCTGCAGGGGGACCGGAGCCGGGGGAGCTTTAAGCGATTTACTGCGGGGTCACATTACGGAGGGGGCCTCCCTGGCAGGCGGATCAGGATGACTCACCAAAAAATGCAACGGGGATTTGCGGGAGGAACAAATCCTTTTTAGTTCTGCAAAGCACCTGTAGGATTAAGGCAATGCCGGTTATGTAAGGGGCAGAGAGGGGAAGGTTTGTTAGTGTTATTGTTGTTATTTATTGTGCTTCCTCGCCGTCCTTTTACCTTACAGGGCGTCACTCGGTGGGATTTTTGGAGAGGTTTGGGATGTGCAGGGGACATGGAACCAGGGCGGCTGTGGGGCCGGGGCTGTGCTTCATCCACATGAACTGTGGGGCAAAGGGTTTTCCTCCAGCCTGGGCTTTGCCAACTGGGCTTTGCTCAGCGGTCCTACAGAGCACCTCCGGCCTGTTGGGGCTATGGGGCGGCCCCATAGGGTTCTCTGGGGCACTGCATGGCCAGAAAGTGTTGTTTGCCATCAGCCTCTTGGACCCTGTGGGTTGGGTATAGCCAAATCTCTGGTTAGGAGGAGCTGTTGGTCACCGCTGCAGGTCTGGGAATGGGCTGAAATGGACCATAGGGTAGGAGGGGGGGTCACTGGTGTGAAAGGGGGAGAGGGAAGAGACCTGGAGAGAGCTGTGAAACCCCAAAGCCCACAGCGATGGGGAACTGCAGGGAAACCCCACTGGGGCCCTCCTGGAGCTGCTCCTGGCCACCCAAAGGGCAGTACCAAACCACTGTTGCATTTCTTCCCCTAAAAGACCCCCAAGGGTGCACCCCATGACCCCCCCATGCATGGGGACCTGCAGAGCCCCATCCCCTCGTGTCACCTCGCAGCATCGCTCCTACAGCAGCACAGACAGCGCTCGCATGGACCGGCGCTTGCAGAAGGGTTTCCATAGCGACCAGCACCCGAAAAGCCCCAGATCCCAGCTGCTCTGCAAGGATGTGGGGCTGCTGCTCTGTGTGCCCCCCAGCAGCACGTTGACCTTGGGTACTGCTGTCCCAAGGATGAATTCTTGGGGGTGGCATCTGCACAATGGGGACAGAGCTCCATGCAATGGAGACAAAGCACCATGCAGTGGGGGCAAAGCACGAATGCAAAGCATTAGGGATCAATTTCTATGCAGTGGGGACAAAGCTCCTCTCAATGGGGACGAAGCACCAGTGCATCACACAGAGGACAAAACATGAATGCAATAGGGGGCAAAGCTCCTTGCAAGGGGGAAGAAGCTCCGTGCATGAAGACAAAGCTTCACATAATAGGGACAAAGCATCAGTGCACTGCACGGCGGGGACGAGACCCCAGTGCAACAGGGACAAAGTTCCACTCCATGGGAACAAAGTGCCAACGCACCACACAGTGGGGAAAACCTTAATGCAATAGGGAGAAAACTCCACACAGTGGGCACATGGGGGAACAAAGCAATGCACTGTGCTGTGGGAACAAGACACCGAGCTCCATGCAATGGAAGCTCTGTCAGTGATGCTGGGGGGTTTGCGGGGGCCGGGATGTTGTTACCCCACCTCTGGGCCCAGCTGCCATTGGGTGAGTGACAATCCCCACTGCCACCTCTGGTTCTGCTCGCTCCAACTCTGCGAGTCAATCAATCCCTGTGTGCGTGGGCTGGGGGCTCCCCCGGGGTACGGGTGCTCCGATATTGGGGTGCTGGGACATCTGGGGTGCTGGGTGGGTGCAATGTGGGATGGGCAGCAGCGGAGGCCGTGCTCCCTGCGAGGTTACATTGCCACCAAAAATAACCACATATGACAGAACCACCTATCGATCCCCGGGGCCGGGCTGCACCCAAGGTTAACCCTTTGGGTCCGGTTCCTATATTTCCAGCTGCAGTGCCAGGGGGCAGTGGGTGCTGCTGGCTGTGGGTGTCTGCGCTGCGTGCAGCCGGCGCTGCTGAGTGCGATCGATTGCAGGGCTCCATTTGCAGAGCACGGACACGGCGCTGCCTCGTGGCTATGGAGACCCAGCACTGCTGTGGTGACAGCAAGAGAAGAGCTGCGCGCCCGCCGTGGCCCCCAAAATGCAACCAGGGTCTGCGTGAGCAATGTGCAGGTTAGAGGGATACAGAAAGCACGGGTTTTCCTTTAATTATTTCCCTGAATGGCTGTCGATACTAATTAAGACTGTTTCCCATAATCAAATTTAAAGCAGCAAGGGAGAGCAGGGGGCTGCCGAAATCCTTCTCTCTTGTGCTGCACTGGGATCAAAGCGGCTTTCAGAGTAAATTAGCAACAAGCTCCCATCTCTCCCAGCAGCTGCAGCACCGAAGGACGGCGATGTCTGAGGGAGGGGTCCTGGCAACCCTGCAAAAAAATAGGACAAAATAGGACAAAAAGGATAAAAACTGCCACTCTTCTCCTCAGCGTAAGGATGTCTGTCAGCTGCTCAGTGGGGATGGGGATGGGCATGGGCGTGAGCAGAAGTGGGGCTGAGGCTGTGTTTGGGATGGAAAGGGAAGGGAAAAGGATGGGGGAAATCCTGGTCAGCCCTGCACCGTCCTCTTGCTGTAGGGATGGGGGTTCTGCCATCCCTGGATCCAGCCTGGCAGACTCCTAGGATCATTGAGATGGGGAAATCATCACCGAGATCATCTCATCCAACCACGCATCTGAGCAAAACATCCCGGAAAGGAAACCCCAAACAATTCACTCAATGCATAGCTGTTTATTTAATCACTCATCCTGCAGAACTCTACATTATTCAGAATGATTTACGAAGAGTACAAGTGTGAATAGCAGCAGAGGTTCCAAGCCACTCTACGTAACATCTAAAAAAAGCCAATAGAACTGTCCCAGCAAAGCCCCAGCGAGCAGCCCACCCCTCCCTGGATCACATTTCCCAGCAGCAGAGAGCAAATATCATCATCTAAAGCCAACGGGCTCGCAGGGGAGCAGCCCTAACGCCCTGCCCTCAGGTGTGCTGAGCATCCCATGGCCCCGGCTCCATGCTTGCTGTACCCATCCTCAAAGTGCCGTGGGTCGGTCTTACCCCGCACTGGGGCTACTGGTTCCCAACAGGGGCTGAAGGTGCAGCGTTGCCCCCATCCAACGAAGCAGAAAGCGAAGCGATAGCAAAGGGCCGGATCCTGCAGCGGGAGGAGCGGCGCAGGCAGGCTGTCACTGCCACATGTCACCTCCATCCCCGTTCTCGTGGAACTTGTGCAGGTGGTCGGCGAACCTGGGGAAAGGGCCGGGTTAGGGCGTTCCTCCAGACATGGGGGGAGCCAAGAGATCCCACCTTGCCTTCACTCCGTCTTCTGCTGCTTTCCCAACCCAACCCCCAGCCTCGCTCGCAGCACCCAGCTCTGCTCAGCCCCCCGTTGCCACCCCGGCCCACCCAGCCCTGCTCACACCCACTTCTTGGCGCAGAACGCAGCGCAGTCTCTGCCCACGCTCTCACTCCAGGCAGTTTTGTAGAGAACCTGCAAAATAACGAATGCAATTGGGGTGGGCCTGTGTGCAGGCCTCTCCCTGATGTGCCCCCACTGCGGCGTCCCATCCCTACCACGACATCCCGTCCCCGCCATAACATTCTGCGACATCCCATCCCTGTCATGACATTCCAACTCAGCACAATATTCCAATCCATCAGGACACCCCATCCCTTATGATGACATCCCAACCCCATCATGACCTCTCATAATATCCCACCCATGCGAAACATCCCTTCCTCACCATGACATGACATCCCTCCTCCCCACAGCATCCCACCACATTCCCATCCCCAGCAGTGCTGCAGGAGCAGCAGCTTTGCCCACTCCCAGGCAGCGCTGGGCTCGGTCTCTAAGCCCTTTTGTTTCTAGGTGAGGCCAGATCATCCCAACCATGCAATATTTATGATTATTTTTTTAGGTTAGAGCTTTAAACTTTAATGACACTAAACTTTTTATTTTCTATGCTCCTTCCCTCACCAAAATAACACAAGGTTGGATTTACTTTGAGATGATCAAGTAGAAATATTGTTCTGACTTGTCTTTCATCTCGTTTCATCCTTTAATTATTGATGTTGAGATTTCTTTTTTTTTTTTTTCTCTTGAAATGATAACTCAGCCCCCAGCAAGCATGTGAGGTACGGGATTTTGGGCAGCCCCAGCACTGCTCCGCATGGCCGTGCTTTGCTCCCACCACACTTACCAGGAAGACAAGGCAGTGCAAGAGCAGCGTGTAGAAAAACGCGACAGTGCGAGCGGTCTTGTTGGATAGGATGAGCCGCCCCTGCAGCAAGAGCAGAGATTGAATCCCATTTTGATGTGCACTAGGGATTCAATGCCTAGGGTGAGCAGCTCGGAATTTTGGTGAGCTCGAGGCTGTGAACCACAGGGCTGAGCCCCCTGGGAGATGGCAGCCCTTTAGGATACCGTTGGCCATTGACGTTGGCTGAGGGAGGATGGAATTGGGTGTCCATCCCTTGGAAAGAGCCAAGCTTGGGAGCAACCACAGCCCAGAAAAGCAGCTTATGGAGAACAGATCCTACACTGCCACTTTGTATTCCTGCTGTGAAAGCTGGGGATTCATTATGGACAGAAGCAAATTCCCCAAAACACCACGTGGGATTTCTGAGGGTGGCATTAAAACCCACAGATCTCCCATCAAACCAACCCTGTGCTGAAATCATCTTTGCTATTCAGGGCCACGGCGGAGGCTGCTGTAACAAACAAGATTATGTTCTTAAATATTCCCAGGGAGTAACTCCCGTAAGTCAGTTTTTTTGTAAATGCCTCTCATTAATTCTCCGTGGCGCTGGCACACCACCCGATCCATATTCATGCTGGCATTTGCTTGGTTTTCATGCAAATGACAACTTTGCCTTCGTTGTGAGACATTTCAGCATTCTGTGGCTGCTACAGGCCAGCGTTAACCTCTGTCGTGCTGGATAGCTGGGGGTCAACACCCCAAACCCCACGACCGTGGCAGGGACGGGTCTGCCGTGCGTCTCACCATGCTCAGCGTGGCTTTGTCCCAGGGACTCAGGCTCAGGTACTTGCGCTGGCGCTCCTGCAAAGAGAAGAGTGCATAGAGCTGAAGTGGGGGCCAGAAGGAGTGATGTGAGGGATGCAGATCTGGGAA